CAACATCTTGTTTAAAGTTTATTTGTATACTATCTACTTCCTGTTCTGAACCAATAGAGACAATGCGTGGCACTAACCTTCCCTAACTATAAAGAGTCATCATTTTCTCTCAATGAACCTATTCTGATAGAGACACACCAAGAGTTGTAGTTAATCTGAATTTCCTGTTTATTTGAAATATCAGACAGCGCCTGAACCAGGTGCTCCAAATCCGTACTTGACTGATGATACCTACAAGGACATAAAGTAAAAACAATAACTGGTCAACCACATCAGCACATCAACTTTAGAAAGGGACGGTCACTTCAGCAGATTTTCATCAGGCTACGGTACGCCATTTGCCTCCTGCACCAAGAGCCTGCAAGAGCTGGATGCGCTATATCTTTCCCATCCTGGTCCCAATCTATCTAAACTACACGCTTGTAGTAAGGTTTAAGGAGATTAACATGACAGAGTCGCCTTGCATTCCTGTGACCTGGTGTCACATAATTCAAATCCAAGATTTTCTCACTGACTATGTATGGGCCTGTGTATTTAGCCTGAAATGGTGAACCAACAATAGGTGTAAGTGCGAGAACCTGATCTCCTGGAGTGAACTCCTGGCGCTCAGTACGACAATCCTACCACTTTTTTATTCTCCTTTGAGATGAACCCAGTTTTTCCCGTGCCATACATCCAGCTTTAAACAGACAATGTCTGAAACCATTCACAAAGTCAACCAGATTCTTCGGTGGGTCAGTATCTACACAATTAACTTTCAGTACTGCCAAGGGACCCCATACTGTAGGTCCAAAGACCAACTAATTCGGGCTAAAGCCTGTACTCTCCTGTACTGCCTCCCTTGCAGCCAACATTAACCACGGAAGTCCTTTTCCCAAGTCTCTGTTTAGCTCAGTACAATACACACGCAAGAGAGACTTAAGAGTCTGATGGAATCTTTCCAAAGCACCCTGACTCTGTACATGATATGCCGATGGTTGTTTTGTTTTATTCGCAACAGTTTCAACACTTGTCCAAACATATGGGATGAAAAATTCAACCCTTGGTCACTCTGGATTACTTTGGGAATGCCAAATATAGAAATTAACTGTGACAATGCCTTTACAACGGCTTTGGTCATAACTGACATCAACGGGTACGCAGCCGGATACCTAGTGCTCTGACACATGACAGTAAGCAGATATTTACAACTAGACTTGGCACATGGCAACGGACCCAATTCCAAGTCCACAATGAAATGTGTAAACGGTTCACTCACAGTCAGGATAGGCCGCAGTGGTGCAGGCTTGACTTTTTGATTTGGCTTTCCTGTGAGCTGGCATACATGACAGGTTTTAATGTATGCTGATACGTCCCTCTTGATCTGAGGCCAAAAGAAATGTTTCATGATATTGAGGTATGTTTTCCGGACACCAAAATGTCCACACTCGTCATGTGCCACTTTCAAGACGAGGGAACGAAACTTAGTTGAGACCACTTTCTTGAAAACATAATTTTTTACCCCATCCTCACTCACAGGAACCCATTTTCTGACCAGCAACCTATTATGCAAAAAGTAACCAGTCGCTACATTACTTATCTCAAAGGCAGGCAAAACATGCTCAAATGTTTCCTTCAAAAAGACGTCGTTACATTGCTCTTGCACCATCTCACTGTGAGACAGTGACAAAAGAAGCTCTGACAAAGATGGAACCTCCAAAACCACATCAGTACTGTTACTGTCAGGTGGCACCTCAGTCTCTGCTTTACGCATAGCGCATGTAACTACACAGGACGAAGAGAATTCCTGCAACGCATTAGGATTCTTCTCAGACACCAAATCAGACGGACAAAGTGTGACTACAGGTGAGGGAAGAGTGTCTGTCCAAACTCTGCTTCCAGCCAAGCCATTCCCTAAAATAAGGTGGATGCCTTCAATAGGCAACGCTGGTCGCAATCCACAGCTACCTCACCCTGAACCAGTTGACAGTTCAGAACAAGCTAGTGTAAAGGTACTGGGAAAACACTTAATCCCATTCCGCGGCTAAGAACCGAGTCACCGGTAAAAGTGTCCCTTAAAAATGACAATACAGATTCAACAATGTAGGAATTGTAGGCCAGTGTATCCCTCAGGATTTTTAATATGACTTCCACATTACTTCCCACCAGCAACACAGATCCACCACGAATGAAAGGAGCATAAGCCTCTAAAACCTGTGATTCACAAGTGTGAGGGGTAAGCATCTCAGAGACACAATCTTTAACAGGCGCAGCAAATGCAACAGGTCTCACATTAGCTTTCACTCCACTGGTTTAAGCCTTTAATACAGCACAATCTGCCTTCTAATGTCCTTTCTTGTGACAATAGTTACAGATATTCCCATTGTCAAAATTAGCACTTGCTTTAAGGTCAGGTTTGAAATGGCCAATTGTCTTTGAACGCGTCATGTCAAACTGAACGGCATCAAAACAACATCACAAGCCACAAGCCACAAGCCACCACAGAGCGCTCTCTGAAACTGCCCTTATGGAGCAATACATACTCATCAGCTGAAACAGCAACCTCAGCAGCTGCAGTCACTTTCCGTTCCATTATGTATGTTGCTCAAAAAGTAGTGATTTCAAGCACAGTTAACCACCGCTTACAATGAGTTGACAAGTCTCTGACAAACTCTGCGTATGTCTGACCATTTTTCTTTTCCCAGGACCTAAAATGCTGACGATATGCTTCCGGCACAAGTTCATAAGCCTTAAGTAGGGCTGCTTTTATTTTGTCATAGCTAGAGCTATCCTCCACAGTCAGAGATGAACATGCCTCCTGTGCCTTTCCTGACAATACACTCTGAAGCATGAGGGCACAGTCTGCATCAAGCCAATTCCTAGCCTTAGCTACACATTCAAACAGCAAGAAAAAAGTGCCTGGGTCTTTTTCATTAAATCGTGGCAACAAGCGCAAGTTATTAATGTCAAACCGATCAGAAGACCTGGGCAGCTTCCCATTCACAGCCTCACCGGACAATAGGCCTTTCCTCACCAGAGACAAACGATATCCCTCCAAATATATTGTTGCTTTTTCGGATATCTGACGGATTCTCTCTACTTGGAGTTATTTTTTAACTTCTAATTCTTGTTCCATTTTTTCATGGTCCAACTGCAACATCAGAATCTCTTTTTGTTGCTCAAAAGTTATTCCATGAGTCTGAAAAGACACAGCAGGACGATTTGGAGAAAAATCCCCCTTATCCTCAGACAATATACCATTGTCAATTAGCTTAGCTTTTATAGTCACTTTAACATTCTCTTTGAGATGTTTGTCACCTTCGACCTCGACGGAATAATGTGCAGCAATCTTGAGCAACTGCTCTTTTGTGCATTAATCCAGGGACTCCTGAGATGGGTCGGCAATAAAAGCTTCAACTTCAGCCATTACAAAATATGTAGCACAACAAACAAGGCCAATACCAAACTTTTACGCACACCAGAGGACTAGATAGCCACAATGCCGTTCACTCGTGAGGGAACAAACATGGCCGTACAAGCCCTCAATTTGTCATAACCCGGCTACTAGGCTATAACAAATTTGGCATAGGACACAATAGATGGCTAGAAATAAGTGAATTTATTGTATTAACGTAAACAACTGAGGTTATAAGTACAAATGTGAAGTGTGTCAATCAGTAACATCAGTAATGTAAATGTGGATGTGTGAGCAATATGAGGTGTAAATGTTTTAAAGTGAAACCATAGCAGAAATCAAACAAAGAGAATATGCTGCTGCTGCTGGCGGGGATGCAGCCGAATGAGAGAGAGAGACCAGAGCAAAGTTGAGACAGAGTTTTTATCCTTGTAGGAGCGCCAGAACCAGGTGCTCCAAATCCTTACTCTGCTGATGGAACCTTCAAGGACACAAAGGAAAAACAATAACTGGTCAATCACATCAGCACATCAACATTAGACAGGGGCTGTCACAAGTTGTAGGCCTTAAGAATAAATAAATAAGTACTGTATTGTAAGTATCCATTAAAAACATCTTGTCTAAAGTTTATTTGTAGTGTACTTCCTGTTCTGAACCAACAGAGACAATGCGTGGCACTAGTCTGCCCTAACTATAAAGAGTCATCATTTTCTCTCAACAAACCTATTCTGATTGAGACACATCAAGAGTTGCCAGTCATCTGAATTTCCCACTTATTTGGAACGTCAGACTGTGTTAATGGTGTCATGATTAAGAAAAACATTGTTACCCAGTACAGCAAAAGTATGATTCAGCATAGGATGCAATACATAATGGAATGACTCACTATTTAATTTACATTGGAGTCAATTTACAACACTAGTTGTGATGCACAGCTACATTACAAAGTTTGCAAACCCCTAGTACTTATTGTTAAAATCATGACTGTTTTTGAACTTCATTCCAACCCAATTAAACACCTATGGGAGATTTTGGACCGAGGTGTTAGATAGTGCTCTCCACCACTATCATCTTCTTTTTAAAGATATTTTTTTGTCAAAGTCAAAGTTTTAGCTAAATGAAAAGGTTTATCACGTGAGCACAAAAGTGAAAAAGATGTGTGTGGCAGATTTTCTTTGTGTATGTATTTGTGAGGGAGGTGCAAGCAGAAAGGTCAATATTCGCATTTGCATTTGCATTATTCTCTTTGAGTGCGAAAAGTGTAAGAAATGAAGTGATGATCAAAGTGAGAGAAATTAGTAGACAATTGGAGGAATTTGGAATGTGGAAACTGGATCAATCAATGGACAGATTTAACAAACACTTTCCCACATCTATACTGGAGTGCAGCCATGCTTTGAGCTAAATGCTATATCATCAGTATGCATTAATAACACCTTATTAATATTGTACTTTAAGTTGTATTTCTCAGTAAAGTCTGCTGGCTTGCAACACTATTCTACTTCCTGTTTTTAACCCGTGAAGACTGTGTATGGTGTAACACTCAACGTGATATTTATCTGCCCACAAATCTGTTTAGAAGAAAAAGGAACAGAAAAAACTGGAGTTCACATGAATTTTCTGTTTATTTAAAACACCAGACAGTGGTGACAGCATCATGACATATAAAGATTAAACCCTGTACAGCAAAACTGTTATTCCGTAAAGGATGCAATAAGTAAGAGAAATGCTGACAATTTCATTCACATTGGAGTCCATTTACACCACTAGTTGCGATGCACAGCTACATTACAAAGTTTACAAGGGCTACTTTTTGACCTATTTGTTATTAAACAGTTGTTTTTAAAAGCTTGACTCTTGTTGAACTTCATCTGCAGTTTGTGACACAGGCACAGAGCCCGAGTTTGACAGAGACAAACGGCTGAATGTCTGACGAACTTGCTGGAGCAGCTGTCTGAGCTGAGCAGGAATAGCTTCATTTCCATGGAGGTAAACCAGAGGGTTGAGAGCACTGTTCAGACACACAAGGCCACGACTTATCTGATGAGCAATGTAAACTCTATTGGACCATTCACGGCACAACCCTTGTTTTAACAAAACTCTTGACCAGAGGTTAAGGTTCGTGAATACATGATAGGGGATGTAACAAACAGAGAACAGAAGAATCAAGATGAACAACAACTTCAAGCTTCTCTGTTTCTGTACATTATCAGTTCTCCTCATTGTCCATAAAACTACAGCTATGTGTCCATAGCAGCCCAGTATGATGAGGAAGGGGACACAAAAGCCAGTGAGGGTCCATCCAAGTCGGTATTTCAGGTAATCCTCAACATAGATCTTATGGGTGGTATCATAGCATTTCCCAGTTCTGTTTCCAAATGTTTTGGTGTAGAACATGTCTGGAAGACTTTGAACACTCACCAACAGCCAGACTGCGATCGAGATAGCCACAGAGTGAGTCCGGGTTAATCTTCCCATCACTCTCACTGGATGAACAATAGCCAGGTACCTGTTCACACTTATACAGGTGAGGAAGCCAATGCTTCCATATAAATTCAGGTTGAAGCAGAATCTTGTTATCTTGCAGAATGCATCTCCAAAGATCCATTTACTCCCCATAAAGTAGTACACCATCAAAAATGGGAGCGTGAGCAGGTACAAAATGTCAGCAAGTCCAAGGTTGAGAACAAAAATATTGATGATCTTTAGTTTTTTCCAGTTGTGCAGCAAAGACTTGAGTCCCCATCCATTGGCTACCAGACCAATGATGAATACCAAGATGTAAACAGGAGGCAGAAATCTGTGTTCAAAGCTGAAATTGACACGAGGGCAAAAGGTTTTATTCATTCTGTCTTCTGAAAAGAAGTCACCCTCTGTGGTTGGTCTGGCTTCTGAGACGTGAAAAATCATTTCCTACTATTTGTTCAAAGAAGACTTCCTGTTTGAAACCCTGGGCCCTCAGTTGTAGATGTGTTACATCACTGAACATTCATGTAAGCTTTGTCCAATCACTGCTCATTGTTTTATCATTTGTAAAGCACTATATAAAAACCCTATAACAACATATCATAGTGGATGTTGTCTCTTGGTTAGGGAAACTGAGATGATTTCTACAAGCAGGATTTGAGGAATTTTCTTTCAGCTTTCAAATCTTCTTAATGTGGGATTAAACAGATGGTAAAAGTCTACATGATCTGCTAAGGTGTAAGAAAATATCTATATGTTAGTACCAAGATAAAACAAGAGTCTAGGATTGAATATTTCAGTCAGAATGCCGAGTTCCCTATGTGACTACAGATGTAACAACACAGGTGCATTATTAATGACATATTAGTGTGTAAATAGTTTGGGTGATACAGGAGTGCCTCTTCATTCACACACAGGAAGGTAAAAGTCTCCCTCTGGTGGTACAGTTCTGACTTTAGAGAGAAAACACTCACCACTTCATCTCAACCCAATTAAACACCGATGGGAGGTTTTTTGAACCAAAGTGTTAGTTCAGTCAGGACCACTTTCGTCAAAATATCTTATATTCCAAGCAGAATTTACATTTGGCGGTATGGCTCTGTTCTGGGACCTCCTTGTCCTTCCGCGTGCCTACGTGGAACACCTTAAGGCAGGGAGAGCACACCTCCCTGCCCTTCCATGTGCATACATGGAAAAGTTTAAGACAAGGAGAGTGGCAGCAGAGACCCCAGGGTACAGAACAGAGCAGCATCAATGGCAATCAGAAAATGACATTGATTAATTAGAAACAACATAAAAAGGAGGAGCTGGGGTGGAGGTGGGTGCAAAAGGCTTGTAGAGGGAGCAGCAGAGATAGGCAGGCAGGCTAAAGCAGCTTAAATAAGGCGCCATGCATGATGTTTGCCAATTGGATGCTTGAGGAAATCAGGTGAGCTGTCAGCTGACTGTGTATGGTATCCAATGGGAAGCTTAGAGGAATCAGCTGATGTATGTTTATGACTAGCTGTGCTCGTATGATATAGCTGTAACTGAAAGCTAAGCCTGACTTTGTGCCCTGCCTGAACTAACGCTATGCTCAATATAGTGCTCTCCACCACTATCATCTTTCTTTTGAAATACATTTTTGGAAAAACAGTGTTTATACACTATATGTTGGTCTGGCTAAAAGACCAATGACGAATACCAAGATGAAAACAGGAGGCAGGAATCTGTGTCCAAAGTCAAAGTTGACACTAGGACAGGTCTTATTAATTTTGTCTCAAAAAGACTTTGATACAACTTGCTCTGTGGTCTGGCTTCTGCCTGTGAAGTCCGAACTAATATGAGGACAGTCTACATGATCTGCTAAGGTGTAAAAAAGACAGTTCTATATGTTAGTACCAAGATAAAACAAGAGTCTAGGGTTGAATATTTCAGTCATAATGCCCAGTTCCCTATGTGACAACAGATGTAACAACACAGGTGCATTATTAATGACATATTAGTGTGTAAATAGTTTGGGTGATACAGGAGAGCCTCATCATTCACACACAGGAAGGTAAAAGTCTCCCTCTGGTGGTTGATTTCTGACTTTAGAGAGTAAACACTCACCAAGCCTTTCTAAACAATCATTATAAACACATTGAGACTTACAGATTAAGAAAAACAAGTCTATAATTGATCTAAAAGTGTTAAAGTGTAAAAACCCAATTTTCCTGCCAAAATTATATTTACATGCATATTAAAATGTCCAGCGTGTAACATTTAGAAAGATCTATTGGCAGAAATGGAATATAATATTCATAGGTATGTTTTCATTAGTGTTTAATAGCCTGAATATGCAAATTGTTGTGTTCTCGTTACCTTAACATGAGCCATTTTTATCACTTCCATGGAGGCCGCCATGTTTCAGTAGCCCAAAACGACCAGTTGACTTAATCGTTAGTCGCCAAGAATCTTAGTTGAGGCATTTTTCATTAGTCCGATAGCTGCAGGAAAATAAAAAACGATGTTGAATTTCACTCGAGAGCTGTCTGTTTTCTGTCAGTGGTTATAATATTATGGCTGATTGATGTACGTTGTAGGTTTTGCATTCACTAGATTTCAACCCAGTTAAACGCCTATGGGAGTTTTTGGACCGAGGTGTTAGATAGTGCTCTCCAACACTATCATCTCTCTTTTTAAAGATATTTTTGGAAGAACGGTGTTCATCTTGTCAGTGGAGTTCCAGAGACTTGTAGAAGGCCCCACGCCTTACTATGACACTGTATGTTGTTGGTGTTTCCTTTAATTTGTCACCTGTCAGTAAATAATTGTTAGAGTTCCAAGTTTGTTTTTGATGCTTGGAGAAGTTAATATAAAAATTTGCCAGAGAGTGGTGTCAAAGTCAAAGTTTTAGCTAAATCAAAAGGTTTATCATGTGAGCACAAAAGTGAAAAAGATGTGTGTGGCTGTGCAACATAGTTTTTATTTGTGTGTGTGTGTTTGTGTTTGTGAGGGAAGTGCAACCAGAAAGGTCAACATATGCAGTTGTTGGTGATCAAAGTGAGAAAAATTAGTAGAAGATTAGAGGAATTTGGATTGTGGAAACTGGATCAATCAATGGACAGATTCAACAAACACCTTCCCAAAACTATGCTGGAGTGCAGCAATGCCTTGAGCTAAATGCTATATCATCAGTATGCATACAAAATATCCTATTTAGGTTGTATTTTATGTTGTATTTGCCAGGAAAGTCTGCTGGCCTGTAACACAATTTATCTGCCCACAAACCTGTTCTAAAGAAACAGACACAGAAAAGGCTGGAGTTCATCTGAATTTCCTGTTTATTTAAAACATCAGACAGTGGTAACAGCATCATGACATATAAAGATAAAAAATGTTACCCTGTACAGCAAAAGTATTAGTTGGCAAATGATGCAATACGTAAAAGAATGACTGACAATTTCATTCACATTGGAGTCCATTTACACCACCAGTTGTGATGCACATTGACATAACAAAGTTTGCAAGGGCTACTGTTTGAACTATTTGTTATTTAACAGTTAATATTGAAATCTAAACTCTTGTTAAGCTTCATCTACAGTTAGTGGCACAGGCACACAGCCCGAGTTTGACAGAAACAAACGGCTGAATGTCTGACGAACTTGCTGGAGCAACTGTCTGAGCTGAGCAGGAATATCTTCATTTACATGGAGGTAAACCAGAGGGTTGAGAGCACTGTTCAGACACACAAGGCCACGACTTATCTGATGAGCAATGTAAACTCTATTAAACCACCCTTGGCACAACCCTTGTTTTAACAAAACTCTTGACACAAGGTTGAGGTTCCTGAATACATGATAGGGGATGTAACAAACAGAGAAGAGAAGAATCAAGATGAACAACAACTTCAAGCTTCTCTGTTTCTGTACATTATCAGTTTTCTTCATTGTCCATAAAACTACAGCCATGTGTCCATAGCAGCCCAGTGTGATGAGGAAGGGGACACAAAAGCCAGTGAGTGTCCGTCCAAGGCTGTATTTCAGGTAATCCTCAACATAGATCTCATTGGTGGTATCAAAGCATTGTTCAGTGCTGTTTCCAAAGGTTTTGGGGTAGAACATGTCTGGAAGACTTTGAACACTCACCAACAGCCAGACTGTGATCGAGATAGCCACAGAGTGAGTCCGAGTTAATCTTCCCATCACTCTCACTGGATGAACAATAGCCAGGTACCTGTACACACTGATACAGGTGAGAAAGCCAATGCTTCCATATAAATTCAGGTTGAAGCAGAATCTTGTTATCTTGCAGAATGCATCTCCAAAGATCCATTTACTCCTCATAAAGTAGTACACCATCAAAAATGGGAGTGTGAGCAGGTACAAAATGTCAGCAAGTCCAAGGTTGAGAACAAAAATATTGATGATCTTTAGCTTTTTCCAGTTGTGCAGCAAAGACTTGAGTCCCCATCCATTGGCTACCAGACCAATGATGAATACCAAGACGTAAACAGGAGGGAGAAATATGTGTCCAGTGTTCAAACTAACACGAGGACAAAAGGTTTTATTCATTCTGTCTTCTGAAAAGAAGTCACCCTTCTGTGCTTGGTCTGGCTTCTGAGACGTGAAAAATCATTTCCTACTATTTGTTCAAAGAAGACTTCCTGTTTGAAGCCCTGCAGTTGAATGTGCAACATCTTAGCACATGTACATGTGTCCAAGATTTACTCTTGTCCTGCGGCTTCTTTTAAATTTAAAATCTTATTGAACAGACAGTGAAAGTCCAAAAGATCTGCTTAGTTATATAAAAATAAAAAAAATAAAAAGTTTTTTAACATGTCCGTGCCAAGTTAAAACAATAGTCTAGGGCTGAATATTTCAGTCAGGATCCTCAGATTCTTATGTGACTACAGTTTTAGCACACAAAGTACAGGTGAATGATATAATGTTTGACATGTAAGTGTGTAAACAGTCTGGATGATAAAAGAGTGCATCATAATTCACATACAGGAAGGTAAGTGGTGGAGGTGAAGTTGTGGTAGAGTTCTGACCTCAGAGAGAAAACACTCACCGGCCTATTGAGACTAAAATTATGTAGAAGCATACTTTTCTAGATGATGAAGATTCAAAAACACTGATGATCTTCAGTTTCTTCTAGTTCTGCAGCAAAGACTTAAGTCGCTGTACATTGGCTACAAGACCAACGATGAATACTAAGATGAAAACAGGAGGCAGAAATATGTGTCCACAGTTGAAACTGACATGAAGACAAAAGATTTTATTCATTGTGTCTTCTGGTAAGAAGTCAACCTATGTGGTCGGTCGGGCTTATGAGACTTCCTGTTTGAAGCCCTGCAGCTGAATGTGCAACATCTCAGCTCATGCATGTAAGCTTTGTTCAACCACTGCCCCTTATTTTATCATTTGAAAAGCAGTATATAAAAAAAAAATACAACAACATATCATAGTGGATGCGGTCTCT